CGTGCCCTGAGTTCCTACCTTGGGCTCCCTGATGAACTGTGACCCAGGAGATGTAAGATAAATAAACCCTTTCCTCCCCAAGTTGGTAGTGGTCAGAGTGTTTTGTCACAGCAATGGAGAGACAAACTAAGACAGAAGGTCATCATCTGCAGTGGGGTGTTGGGTAGGCCACTGTTCATGGAGACTGTCAGCATGAGTACATGCGTGCTGCCTGCCAAATTCTTCGTCTTTCATCCAGAGTGAAGGTGAACGTGAGATGACTGCCCAGGTCAGAAGGTATGATTGTGTAAGGCAGAGAAATTCCCTCCCTCCTGAACTTGGCCAGGTTCTCAGAAAGGGGCCTAGTTTGGCCTCGGTTGGTTCATGTCTGACAGAGAAGAGGAACTGTGGACTCTGGTACTACCCTGTACTCCCGCCACTTCCCAAAGGGGAAACGTGATGAGGCTGGGGTTGGGATTTTGAGCAGGTAACAACTAGGCAAAGGGGGAGGGGTAAAAGAGAAAAGGGGTTGGGGAGGCATAGGGAGATTGATGAGGGAGGTCCGGGTGAGGAAGTCGGTGTGAGTGAGGGAGGCAATTTGGGGGCGAGGCTGGGGTCAGGGAAGAATGGAAATGTGGGGTAGATGTTGGGATAGCTGGGCAGGGAGAGGGATTTGCAGACAAGGGGGTAGAAAGTGATGTGGAAGGCATGGGTGAAATGGAGGGTCAGGGAGTTGGGGGGAGGCTGTGGACTATGAGGAGGTTGTGGAGGAGAGGGGTTATAGGGAGAGGACTCATCAGCTGGATCACAGAAAAGGAGGTTGGGGCAGTGGGGGGGGTTGGGGGGGTCCTGCAATAGGAATTGGTATCTGGATAGAGAAGAGCAGAGAGAAGAGGCAGAGGTGAGGATGAAAGGCTTGGACGTAAGGCACCTCAGACCATTTGCCATTTCGTGGAGGAAGTTTAACTAAGTCCCACAAAATGGCAGGATTGACAGTTTCAAATTCAGGCCAAATATTTCTGTTATCAAGCTGGTATTTAAGCTAAATTTGGTTGCATAAGCAGATCAGAGGTTTAGCTTTGAACTCGGTAAGGTCAAGTTGTAAGAGTTTTTTTGTTTTTTGTTTTTTTTGTTTTTGAGAAAGGCCAATCAGTTATCTTTTGGGATTGATTGCTGGGATCCCATAGTAGGTATAAAAGTAGGAAGAGGGCCAAATCCGTAACAACAGGAATCCCCTGGGGCCAGAGAAAGGCCAGAGAGGCAGAGGGCTGGGAGGGGTTTTGGTGCAAAAACCAGGCATCTCCTGGTCTAAGGCACCAAAGTGGAAAGACAGGGACCCCTGGGGTCTGGGAAGGAGACATTCAGAGCACCTCCACTGTTGTCTGCTTGTAACAAATGGCAAAGGGCCTCTGGACTGGAGGTTGATGGGAAAGAGAAAGGATATGAGAAGTTTTACGTATGCCCATTATGATCCCCCCTCCCCCCGAAAAGCCAATACAACCTTCAGGACAAAGGTCTTCCCTGCCTACGTGGCGATGAAGTTGTGAGAAACTGTGGCCCCAGATGGGGTGAGGTCTCTGAGTCATGTACCAGCTGCCATTTAGCCAAAGTAGGTTGTGGGGGGAGGGCGTTGATCAGAGTCCAGTGGGGTTAGGAAAGAAGGAGGGGGCCTATAAGAGACATGATGTTGTTCAGAAGATCCTCCCAGGTTTCGACACCAGAATGTTAGGGATAGGAGTCACAGGTAGAAAAAAAAAGCAACTAACCTCAACGATCCAAAATGGCCTTTGTTTTAGTCAGTGAGGGGTGGCTAGCTGACCAGCTGGAATTGGTAGTCGCCACACTGGTCAGTCACCAGGGGAGTTTAAGTATGCTTGTGTGTAGAAATAGAGGCATCGGGGTTGGGTAGGAGAGGACCATCTTATAAAGGACTTAGGGCCTGCATTGTTCCCAAAAGGGTCTCTTGGCAGAAGGACTTATTTGTAGAACAGGAATCACTTTAGGGGTGGTATGTTCTGGTACCATAGGGGCTAGCAATACTTTGATAATGCCCAGCAGCAGCAGTGATAGTTTGTAACCTGTAAGGGGTCTTTTGTGCAATCTCCCTTTACAGAGTTCAACCTGAGGTTTAGTTTAAGGTCAATAAGTTTGAGTACTCAGTGGTCCTGCTCAAGGTGTGGTCCTGCCCATGACTGACCCATCATTATTTCAGCTCTCGTCAATTGTACAAGGTACTCTGACCAATTGTCAGAACTGTTTGAAATCTCTTCCTGGGAGACAAGTTCCTTCTCTGGATGGCACAATGCTTCAGCCTTTCCCCTCCCCCAAGCATAGGACTCCTGGGGAAACTGTAATTCTGTGGGGTCTTTTCTTCAGCAGTCTGGTAGTACATGTTTCTCTACAATATGCTCTCTCTTGCTAGGACAGTTAGAGTCCCAGCGGCTGGAGAAGTTACAGGTCTTTCCTCTGAGCAACAGCAGCACTTGATTTGTGTGTGAGTAGTTCCCCACACAGACATTGCACTAGCTAGGACATGGGGGGCCACAGCTCAGATCCTGATCTCCCTAGAGGTCAGTGAGGCCAGCCCCAAGAAACACTGCATGTGCTGGGCAGTGAATTTCAGGTGAATGTGTCACTTCCTATTGACAGTGAGTTTAGGGTACTGAGGGGTGGTTTGTCCATGGCCATACCCTCCCCTAAACAATTATAACTAAGGGCCTGTGGGTAGTGGGTGAGAGTTGGCCATCTGGGCCAGCTCAGGACAGCTCTGAAGGCCACCCTCCTCCAGAGCTCTCCAACTTCCTTCGTCTTGTTCTTCTCTGTCTATCGGGAAGGCTCCAGAGCAACCAAGTCTCAACCTCTAGAAACCCAACCTGTAACCTATGGAAGGGTGACGGTAAGGCCATGAGACAGAAATTAGTAGTCAGTAGGGCAGATCAGAAGCAAACGCTCCCCACCAACCAGACCCACAGATTCATTCTGATTTCTCCATAAAGACTAGCTATGCTTCTAACAGGCCTCCCACAGTGAACAGCAGGGATCTGAGCCCTCCTGGGGAGCTGCTCCCCACATGAGTCCTCCTCAGTCTCGCAGATCCTAAACTAGGATACTGCACATTTAAGACAATGCCACCAGGCAGAGAGGGTGTGTCGTGAAGAAGCATTGTGCGTCAGAAGTGCAAATGGCATGTGGAGATCTGATGTTGGGGAGCACAGTAGATGTGGCCATGGTGATACACAAGGCCCATAGCGGGACACGAACTGAGAGCACAGGACAGGACTGAGAACATCTCCAAACCATACCTGAGGGGGCCACAGAGCTGCAGAGAGGCAAACATCTCATTTATCAGGGGCCTGGAGAGATGGTTAAGAACAAAGAACAAATGCTGCTCTTGCACAGGGCCCAGGTTCAGTTCCTAGCACCCACATCAAGTGGCTCACAACTGCCTGTAACTCCAGCTCCAGGGAATCCAATGCCCTCTTCTGGCCTCTGTGGGCACTGCATTCATGTAAACACACACGCGTGTGCGTGCGCGTGCACACACACAATTAAAAAATAAAGTAAAATAGGGCTGGAGAGATGGCTCAGCAATTGAGAGCATTTGTAATTTCTGGAGGACCAGAGTTCAATTCCCACCAACCACGTTGAGCTCATAACTCCTGTAACTACTTTCCTCGTGGGTCTGATGTCTTTGGCCTCAGAGGACACCTGCACATTTACATAACCACACACAGATGTACACATATACACATAATTTTTAATTTTAAATCTTAAAACAAATTAATACTTGGATAGGATCCACTTGCCACTGGCTATGGCCTTGCCCACCTCAGGCCAAGAAATCAGCCCAGTCACATGTAGAACTTAGTTTCTCCAGGTCAGAGACAACCAATTTGCCTTAAGGTGCTGCTGTATCTGTTACTTACACTCCCCCTCCCAACCCATTTCCACTTGCTTTACAGAAGCATTTAGGCTTTCCAGAAGCTTCTGTCCTGATGGAGCACTCACCTCATACTGGCCTGGAGCAGCTGGAAGATTGTGCCTGAAGGTTGGTTGGTTTATTGCTAGTAAGTCCAGTTGCTAGGGATTTGTTAAATAAAACACCATGCGTTTTGTTCACCTGTTCTGAACTGCCTGCCTGTCTAATGTGGCTGGTGCATGTGACAATGGCTTACAGATTCCAGTCCCAGCAGGGATGACTTGCTTCTATGACAATGGCCAGTTGAGCATGCATTTCTTCTTACCCTTCCTTCTTGTGGGACCTCGGGGACTGATGAGGGGATGGGGCTGGAGGAGTCTCAAGATGAGGCGGGACCAACTGGAAACCACCCCTTAGGTGAGCTCAGGGCTCGAAGCAGTTTGAAAAAAACAAGGCAGTGCTAGGGCAGCAAAGCAGATGGGAGCCCTCAGAGGCAGCCAGAGTCCTCTGGACTGGGGAGAACCCACAGGGTCTTACCCCAAGTGGCCACTTCGACAAGAGCAAGGCCAAGGGGAACCTGGAAAATAATGGGATGCTAGAGTACTGAGGAAAGCCTAGGATAGGAGAGAGAGCCTTCCTTCTCTCTGGCAAGTGGACTAGGTGGCAGGCGCAGAGTGCCACCCGTGGGGCCAGTGTGGAAGGCCACTGTAGTCTTGGACATGTAGGAGATGATGAGGGGAACCAAGGCAGGGCCTTCACCCAGCACAGCGATTCCAGCCCCCGAGCTTCGGCCCACCTCAAAACCCAGAGGGGCCAGCTAGGAGGGCCAGAAAGAGCCAGGGTGACAGGGCAGGTGCCAGTCAGATGTCCACCCCGTGCAGAGTGTCGAAGTCAGTGAAGACATCTTCAAGGCCTTAGGATCCACCCTGAGCTCAACCATCTCCGCTACAGCACAGTTGTCGTGTGAGCAGCTTGGGCAGCATCTCACCTCCTATGGTCCAGCAACGAGTCTGCCCCAGCCACTCCTTGGCACACTGACCTTTGAGAGCCATGGATGGCCAGCATGAGACTTGAGGGAGGTCACACGTGGGGTCAAGTTCTCCACAGAGCTGGATGGCAGTTTGCCTCAGTCTAACTACCTGGTCTGAGTCTTGGTTTCCTCATCTGTAAATGAGGAACACTGTGATTAATGATGGACTTCACTGTAGAAAATCTCTCCACCAGAGCTGGAGAGTGGTTCATGGATAAAAGCACAGCTTTGTAACTATGAGGACCTAAGTTTAAATCCCCAGAACCCATGTAAAAAGCCAGACCTGGGTTCTGGAGAAATGGCTCAGTGGTTAAGAGCACTGTCTGCTCTTGCAGAGGAACCAGGTTCGATTCCCAGCACCCGCATGGTGGCTAACAGCCATCTGTAACTCCAGTTCCAGGGGATTCAACACCCTCTTTGGGTGCACTTACATGCATGTGGGCAATACACTCATATACATAAACTGAAAATAATAAACCTTTTTTAAAAAACCAGGCCTGGTAGCATATACCTGGAACCCCAATGCTGTGGGGCACATAGACAGGAGGATCATTGGGGTTTGCTGGCTGCCAGCCTAGCTCCAGGTTCAGTGAGGGACCCTGTCTCAGGAGATAAAGTGCACAGTGACAGAGCAGAACTATTCTCCTCTGGCTTATGCATGTACCCGTGGGTGCCCACAACTACACACACACACACACACACACACACACAAATAAACTTTAAAAATAAAAACATCTCTGTCCTTCCCACAGAAGCTACTAACTGCAGATACATCCTCAGGGACAGGTGGGGCCTTGTCAGCACCCACCCTTTGCACGACAGGAGGTTGTATGGTCCAGTCTTGTGCAGATCTTGTACAGGTAATCACAGCTGCTGTGGGTTCAAGAATGCAACAGCCATGGCATGCCTGGAAGTCAACGTTCCACCCCACTTACTATTTTTATTACCAGTGACAACTCTGGTCTCTGGCTCACGTGGGTGTGAGGTACTTTCTAATATTCGACCAAAGCAGCATTTGGAGGTCCAGGGTAGCCAGTGACTTCAGGTCAAAGAAACCAGGGAAGAGAGTGTGAGGACACTAGGATGATCCCACCACGTCTGGCAACTCTAGACTTCCTTCCCCAGGGAGCTGCGGCAATGGCTGAGGCCCTCCGGCCACCCAGAGAAGAGAGAGGCCTGGACCTGGGGCTGGTGGAGCGAGGCAAGCAGTACAAGTGAGGAAATCATGTGATTTCACTAGCAACGTTGCTTCTCAGAGGGAATGAACGGTTCTGGGCCATCCTCAGATGCCTGGCACACCCTCCTCAATCCTTTGTCTCACCTGGAGAGGTGTCCAAGCACCAGTAGAGAACTCAGCACGTCCTTTACCCTGTTCCCTGGCCCAGCAGAAAAGTTTGTGTCCGTCCTGTCCATCTGTGGGTCACTGCCCCCAGCAGCCACATTCCCCACCCCTGAGACGCCACCCCTAGCCTCTTTCTCTTGCCACAAAGCCTGTTCTTTTCCCAGTCCCAAGCTCCAAGTGGTAAAGGGAGTTAGCAGCAGGCATTTGAGTCCCACCCTGCTCCTCAGTCACCATCCCCATCCCCAGTTCTAGGTACAAAGACAGACTGGCTTGCCATCATTCAGACTGTAGGACAAAACCACAATAAAATAAAATGAATATTTTCTCAGCAAAAATCCATTAGATGAGTTACTGTTGTAATTTAATAATGGGACAGGAAACTACAGCAAATTACCAAAGTATATAATTAAAGTAATTCTATTTTAAAGCCCTTTATTGCTTGATATTTCTCAGATCTCACCACCCCGCCCCCATCTCCTCACCACAAACCCACACACATACTTCCCTTCACATGAAGGGAATGGGAGTGATGGATGCCCATGGAACTGGGCACGTCAGCAAATACTGCTTTGATCTGCCTTCTCTCTGGTGGACAAAATGTACCTAGTACCCATGAGGTCAGGGCTGTCCCCCTCCAGGACAAGAGGAGATCTGCTTCCCACATATCCCCAGTGCCCACCACTGCTGGGTTCTTAGAGCTTAGGGGTTGATATCAGAACAGGGATTGGGCTGGCAAGATGACTCAGTGCTTTCTGCACAAGCATGTCAAGACCTAAGTTCGGATTCCCAGCACTTGCATAAAAAGCCAGGTGTGGCAGTGCGTGCCTGTAATCCCAGTGCTGGGGGCTAGAGACAGGAGGATCCCCAAAGCTCACTGGCCAGCCAGTCTAACCAAATGGCGAGCTCCAAGTTCAGTGAGAAACCCTGTCTCAAAAAATAAAACAAAAGGCTGGAGAGGTAGCTCAGGTGAAGAACACTTGCTATTCTTCCAGAGGACCTGGGTTCAGTTCCCAGCACCCGCATGGTGGCTCTATGGCCCTCTCCCGGCCTTTCAGGGCACTACACACATACCAGTATACGTATAAGTAATCAAAACACTTATAAAAATAAGAATAAATAAATCTTTTTTAAAAATAAGTAAAATGAAGAGCAAGGAAGGGAGATACCCAACGTGAACCTCGGGCTTCCACATGCACACTCCCACATTTGTACACCCACACAAACGTACACAAGCTAAGACCCAGAGAGGTTTGGAACTTTCCCAGGATCACACAGCAATAAATGACAGAGGTGGGATTTGATCTCAAGTATTTGACAGCGGACCAGCTGAGTTCACAAAGCTCCCCATCTGGGATACCTCTCTGCTGGGGGCCAGAACCCTGGATGTGGTGAGCCAGGGCAGCTGCTGCTGTGGGCTTGGAAGGGTGAAGGATGGAAGGATGAAGGAGGGGCCGTGCACAGCTGTTGTTCCCAAGGCCATTTCTACTTTCGGGAATTCATTGTAAAAGGGAAGGGGAACCAAGACATGTAGCACATGCAAAATCAGATGAGTGAGCTAGACATGGTGGTTCACAACTAATTCTAGCACTTGGGAGGCTGAGGCAGGAGAATCACTCTGAGTTCAAGGCTAGTCTAGGCCACAGAATAAGTCTCTGTCTCAAAAAAGGTGAATTACCTTCATCAGAAGGCCTAAGGAGACTCACGGAAGGCCTCAAATCCTAAGCTTGACGTACCCTGGAAAGGGGACTCCACAACCCAGGCTCCTGGGGACAGGAGGGACAGAGAGTCTCTGTCCACCTCAAGTAATCTCAATGAAAGAATTTGTTTGTGTTTAGATAGGGTCTCCTATAGTCCTGACTGGCCTTGAACTCACTATGTAGCTAAGGATGACCTTGAACTTCTGGTTCTCTTGGCTCCATCTCTCTAGTGCTGGGATTAGGGGAGTATGTCACCACACCCAGTTCTATGTGGAGGAGCTGGGAATGAAACCTGAGGCTTTTTACATTCTAGGCAAGCATTCTACCCATTTCCAGAGCCCTCAGGCCACACTCAGGACTTGAACGGAGACAAAGCCACAAGCCACTTTGTTAGCACACAAGCTCTTGGCTTTAGAGAGAATGTGACGGCCCCCCAAGAGAAGCAAAGGAATCCCCCCCGCCGACAGTCAACATTTCTTGGGGGTCAAGAGACTAGATGCTGCCCAGAGCCACCATCCCACACCAGCCAGCAGGATCTTGTCCCCCTGGCTAAACACAGAACTGGGCTTCTCCAATGGAGATGACTCAAGGAACCCCATCCACTGAAGGAAGAGGGGAGGAGAGGGGCTGCTTTAATAGGCTGGGTGTTCATGCAAATGAGATGCAAAGTGCATGCAAATGGAAGCTTCTATTCCTGAATCTCCAGCCGATTTCCTGGACAGAGCCTTGGCGGCTCTGTGATTTCTGAAGGCCACCTTCTCCTTCCACACATCAAAGACAGATGGAGCAGGAGAACAGGACTTCATAGAGGGCTGGGGCTGGGCAGACCAGCTGCAGAACCACCACAGGACAGATTATCAAACTGCTGTTGCTGCAGTTCCCGGAGTAAGCCTCCTCTGCAGCCTGCACACACACACACACACACACACACACGCACACACACACACTCCGCTTTGCAGTCCGGAACAGTGCCCAGAGGTATACAAACAAAGCCCCAGAGATGCCAGACTGAACAATAAAGGCAAGCAGCCATGCAAATGTCCCTGAGCCTTTTTGTAGTGACAGGAGAGATGCTGAGCCCAGATGCTGTATTATGCGTGGCATTCTCCACTAAGACATCCAATATGGCGTAGTCTAGGACTGTTTGCTGCACAGGGAACGACAGCCAAGTGGGGAACACAGTTCGCTGCCCATCCAACCCAGGGCCTCTGAAGCCAGGCTTCCATGAAGGTCAGGCACAGCCACCTCCCACTCCCCCATCCCCCTAACCCCCCAA